AAAAATCTTTTTTTTTCTAACAACTAATTTCTTTAACTTTAACTTTAAATTTTCAATTAATCTATAATTAATTATATGCATGATAATAAAACCTAACAACATGAATTAATTATTTTCTTAAAAGAAATGTTTATATAAAATGTATTTGGTATATGGAGATAAAACACACACTTCTCTGACTCTTTGCATGATTATCGTAATCAAAAGTAATTTTCCTCTCCGTAGCACATACCGGTGTATTATTGTTTACTGTTGTACTTATCTTGAAAATGTCAAATATCTTCAACTGTTATTTCATTAATTTTATATCAATAATTTTTATGTTTCTAGTTGCTTTACATATGTTTAGTTCTTTGTACTCATATGCTCCATAAAATTGATAATTTTGTTTTTCAATCAATCAAAAAAGTTATCAGTTGACCAAAACTTAATTTTTGAACGCAGACCACTTAAATAATAATAAATGAACTTATTTAGATAGTTTTTCTGCTCTGAGGTAAATTTATGTTATTTAATAGTAATCTGAATTGATAACTATTTAAAATGGTCTAATATGGCATAACTCTTGATATTTTTATACCCGTTGATTTATCAATGGGATTTATTTTGAATCTATAAAATTTACAAAATTTTATGAGCGAAGCAAATGATTTTTTTATAAATTCTACACATTAAACTTTATACTTTAATTTTATTTAAAAAAAAAACTTTTTATCATGTTTTTTCACAAATTTTCGTTAAAAACTTGTAGATACTGCATCGGAATGTTACACCAATGGGCGCGTCTTTTACGATTGCAGATAAATTCCTCATTATTTTACAGTTATATTTACGAAATGCAGGAGCTCAAAATTTTCTTGATGACATAAATTCAATAATTCGAATTAAATTTAATTTATACTACTTCCATAAACTATTTTGCAAACAATTTTTAAGAAAAGCGATAATTCATAATATTTTCTTTTTGTTAAATATATATTGTGAACATATTGTACGATATAGATTGAGTATTCTCACAAGTTGTAAATAATAATATTAATTTGTGTGAATGTTGCTGTTTAAATAAAAATGAAACAGCATCACATTGAAACAAGATATTGATTTCTAATACATTTTATTATAATGATGTATTTAATAAAATATAAGAAACGCATTTCTAAAAAGAAATAGATCATATTCGTATATGGCACACAAGAGAAATTTCAAAATTCACATATAAAATTTGTTCATTTTTCTGAATAATAAGTTAAGTAAAATTGAATTCTAAATTTCTCATTCACTATTAATTTGCTTGTTTATTTCATATTTGCTACAAACAAATCTCAAAAAATTCTCCTGAACAATTATACAATAATGTACAAATTTAATAATTTAACATAACTGGCTTCTATAAAATCACTACATGTTCGACTTGAATTCTATCTCTATAATCTATCTCTATCTATATAATTCTATCTCTACAATCGCGTCTAAAAATAAATATTTTGATGTTATATATTAAATTGATTTTTATACTGGCAAAATCATTGGTATTCTGGTTTATCATTAGTCTACGTTTAGTCATTAAATTCAACTAAGTCAAAGTCAATTAATTAAAATCCAAACTTTTGAATAGACATGCATCCTGAAAGAAAATATATACGTTTAATCTATCCGATAATTAAATAAATAAATTAAAAATATTTAAACAAAAAATCTTTTTTATATAATAAATTAAAATTATAAAAGTGGCCGAAATAAATACTCTGAACAATCCGTGTGTATTACACACAATAGATACAAAAAAGGAGACTTTTTTATTAAAAGATTTTGCGATTTTATTAGGGGATGTAATTTTCTTCATAATTACTCGGAAACGTTCAGCTTTATTAGACGTTTAGGTTATCCAAATTATTATTGAAAATTTGAAAATCAAATTGAATCGTATCATATCGTGAGGAACCAGTTATCCTTTTCTCGCCATTATATATTTGTCCAAAATGTTAGCTTATTATATTTTATATAGATTTCTATAATAAATACAAAAAAAATGTGAGAAAATGATCGCAGAATTTTTATTAAAAAAACAACCGTACTCAAGTACCGTTACCAAATTCCTGTCTTTGACAAAATGAATATCTAATTTAAACAGGATAACATAAAACAATAATTGTATTTATTAACTTCCCGTAGGGTAAGTTATAGTAATCGCAAAAAAATCGAAAAAGAAAATTTTTGCATTTCTCGACGTTTCAAAGGCTTCTGAATATTTTGGCATACCTTAGAAAAAATGGATGTATGTGTGTGTGTGTGTGTGTGTGTGTGTGTGTGTGTGTGTGTGTGTGTGCGTGTGTGTATGTATGTGCGGATACAAATTTTCGTCGACGATTTCGGGAACACCGATCAACCGATTTGAATAATTCAAAAAACATTCGATTCGTATTGATAAGGAGACGTGCTGATTAGTTTTTGGCGAAGTCAGGTCTAGCCGTTCCGAAGATACGGGGCAAAAAGTGCCGAAAACGGTAACTCAGTTTTTAAGAGAACGGAGCGTCCGATTTTAATAATTCAAAAAACATTTTACTTGTATTGACAAGGTGAAAAACCGATCAAATTTTCATAAAGGCGTGTCTAGCGGTTTCGGAGATCTAATGAAAAAAGTAAAAAAAAATGCCATTTGGCGGTCAAAAATGATCATTAGACATATGCACATCAAATTATCAGATATTTTATAGAGATTTTAACAATAAGTATAATTTTGGTTTACATTCCTATGGGTTCCGTACCAATGTTTACGCGTTAGACGTCGACGCGGCGCTTACGCGGTTTGATATTTCGTCTTTATGCAGTTAAAGCAGTACGATTGCTTTGAAAAAAAGTTTAGATCTTTCAAAATATGTCAAAATAAGGAAAAAATTTTTTTTTTTAAAAAAAAATTAAAAAAAAAAAATTAAAAAAATTTTTTTTTTCAAAAAAAAGTAATTTTTTGTATAATTGTTTGTCAAAAATCTTATTTGTTCGAAGAAAATTTTTTTCAAAAATGTTAATCGTTTTTAAAAAAATAATTTTTGGTACGGGAAGTTCTAGCAATTTGCCTTAAGGCACGATGCCTTAATTGCCTTAAGACAGAATTCCACTTACAGCTAGTTATTTCTGGTACCTAAAAAGGATACGTGTCGAATAGAATTGATCCATTTGGGATTAGCTTATTCACCGTAGAGCATATTTAACCTTTTTTATGACGCAACCGGGGAAAGTAGGGCACTCGATAACTGTACTCCGATTCTGTGTAGTGTGTAAAAGTACCTGAACCACGCGCGGAATCATTATTACATTTGTTCCTCGTTGACGATTGAGGAGATTCATTTATAATTAATTTTGTTTAGGCTAACGCTTGGTAACAGTACCTGTTTTTTTCGTCCTTTATTTCGATGATGAAATATGAAAACGCCACGTATTAATCATACTTTTTCGAAGACTTTTAATTGTGTAGTTGTATTAGTATTTTTTTATTAGTTTTATATGCAATCTCAATTTTATTGACTATTTTGATTTGTTTAAATATTTTTATTTTGCTTGAAAATTTTGATTTTTAAATTTAAATCATTTAGAAGTTCTTATTTCTAACAATTAGGATCAATACTTATATAGGCATTTTAAATGTTTCAATTAAAAAAAAGATAGTTTTACTAGATTGGTTGAAATTGGTTTAAAATCTGATATTTGATATGCCTATAAAAATGCCCATTTTATTCTAAAAGTTTAGTTTATACTTTCGTACTCATAAAAATTAGACTGATTCTGAAGGATATAAACACCTCATTACAATATTCAAATTGTTCAGAAATACACAATGCTGGGCAAGGGACATAAAGATATCAATTTAACTTGTTTCTTGATTTTTTAAGATTTTATAATTTACATGATTATTTATTTAATTTTCATTAAAATGTATTTCAAAGATTATAAGCTATTATTATATTACTATTATATTCAATTTCAACTAATATTAATAATTAAGTTATTAAATATAAAAGAATTCCAGAAATATTAATTCAGTTTCTTATATATATTTGTCTTTAAGGAATCTTAATATAATTATATTTCATTATAAATCTCTACATATATTTTATAGTTTAATAGCTAAAGAATTTTTTTTGGCTATTCTAATGTAATATTCTGTTACATACTAAACACAAAAAATGCACTCGTACTTAGGCTCGATAAAATTTATTCGAAAATAGTATAATTTTTTCTTTTGATAACATTTTTCGAACACCTAAAACACGGATAAATAGCAAATCGATGGTCATCTTCTGTTTTTTAAAATCACATTTCATTTTTATTATCTATTAAAATTAATAGAATATTTAAATTTGTATTAAAATTTCTCGGAATAGATAATACTCATTTCTTTGCATAATTGTCTTTAAAAATGCAATTGATTTTAATAAGTATGTTGCATTAACCTCATTTACTCATGTTTCTCGACTCTGATTATAATTTGCATTGTATAATACACAATTATATCTTTTCCAATTGCTATGGTATCTATTGTCATTTTAAAAAATATTGTTTTTATAAAAACATGTTATTATAAAAACACAAACTTTGCTGAATAACTTTTCAACGTTCTAATAAATATTTTAATTTAATAAATATTTACAAGCCTATATGTGAAAATTAAGCATAAACAACGAATAATTGTTTCTCAAGTTATGCAAATTAGTAAAACAAGGATAATAGTTGACCAGGATTAAATAAACAAATTTTACTATCAATAAATTTGAGCAATATATAATTTGAGTCAAAAACTGCTTTTATCCTTCTAACTTTTTTGTTAATTTTTTTTGTATAGGAATATCGAGCAAAATTTTTTTCATAAAAATCGGTAAAACCGTTTTCTGAAAAAATACTATTCGAAAATGGGTTTTCTAAAATGTAAATGTAAATTATTGTTAAGTGGAATAATATAGATAATATTTCAAATTCAAGATAAAAATATATTTCCTTCTTTTTAGGCGATGCTCACAGTTTCAACCACAATTCTGCTGCATCTGGAAGTGCATCGCTCAATTCATCAGGATCGGGTGCTCCAGCCGACGCAACTGCAGCCGCCTTAGTCATACCAGAGAAAGCGTCTTCATTTAGTATTCATCCTGGTCGTCTGTGCAGGGATCAATGTCATTACTGTGGAGGAAAATTCGGTTTATTTGATACGCCCTGCCATGTTGCCCAAATCAAAAGTTTGGATAGGCAGAAACGGATATTGGAAAGTGAGTGAATCTAAAACATTTAAGAATGTTAGATAGAGGTTTATTAACTACGAAAGGCCATTTAAAAAAAGTCGTCATTTAAAAATCAGTTGTACGCGTTAGCTCAATGTTAACCCGCTGAGTCACTCACTTAATGTCAATGATACCGAAACATTTGAACTGATTGTGAACGACATGCACTTGCAAAAATCGTGTTATTTTTAGGATATTATTTTTTACTCCTTGTTTTTTATTATAGGACAAGTATTTTACCATTGTACAATCCTGATTAAATGCACGAACTTTTGATGGAACTTGCCGCTTTAGTACATTTTTTAAAGGAGGGCCATCGATTTATTTTGAAAATTTCAAATTAAAAACAGTTTAATAAATTATTCTAATTTTAGAAATCTTGCGAAAAGTGTGTAGTTATTGTTGACTGTAGTCTTCAAAATGTTATTTACGATTACTGATCCAAAGTTTAAATGATTAAATATAATTTAAAAATTTACTACGATAACCGAAAAATGGTCACAGTTTGACCAAAGATCTAGGTTGTACCTAAATGCTCATAACTTCCAAATTGCACGAAATAATTTTTTTCATAATAGTGAGTAGGGAATGCAATACCGATATACCGAATTACCGGTAAACCGCCCGATTTTTCGGCGCTATTTTTACCGGTATTTACCTCAAAAATACCGATATTTTTGGTAATTTTACATAAACGCTATTTGATACATAATACACTAAAGTTTAAATTTCTCGGAACAAATTTATCTATAAATTCCATAATCGCATAAATAGCTATATCTTCAAATGATTCTAACAAATGTCAAATATTATATCAACTCGTCATTAAACTGAATATTTATTGCTTTACTAAGGGCTTCATATCGTATTACAATAAATAGAATTGGACTCATAGATAATGAGTTTGTTTCATCTAATGTAAAAATGTAACGGTTTTTTAAGTGATATTTATGCCAAAATATTTTATATCATACAGATTACCCCTGCGTAATCTTTATTTTTTTCTAACTTTATACATAATAATTATGATAATTACTAAATATTTTTGCTTCTTATTACAATTATAAAATATTATTTTTCGAAAATGTTTCGAAGTTTGAAAATACTATAGAAGCATCACATTGTTTTAAATAACAATACTCAACAATTATAGTAACTTATTATTTATCTCTACAAAGTATCTGATCTTAAATTAGTGTAGAATTTTTTTTTTAATATTGGAGATTATGCTAAGTTAACACATCGGATACAGACAATACAGTTCATTATAATAATGCAATATGATCTTTTATGAGTTTTTGATCTTTCTTACTCATAAGTTTGTTTTTGGTGAAAAGTACTCAATATTCTCCATAGTGATAATGAATTAATTAAATTGGATATAATTTTGTTGAATTATTATTTAAAAACATAAAGTTATTGTTTTATTTTAATGTTTTTATAGTTTAGTTGAATATAGATGTAGTTGTATATACATTTTTTTTATATTTGTGCTAGTAACTTTCCATTTTGTTTACGTTTGTTTAAGACAATAAAAATACCGGTAATTTACCGGTATTCCGGTTTTGAAATGAAAAATTACCGAAATGCCTGTATTGAAATTTTTCATCGGTATTGCATTCCCTAATAGTGACCCCGTTTCGGTATGACATTGAGTTCTGGGACACCCTGTAAATATGTGTGTAAATATATATTCGATATCTCCTTATATGAGTTTAATAAACATTGTATTTCAATAGTGGAAGAGAAGCTGACTGTGGATAACTGTCTCTGCGACGCATGCTACCGACACGTAGATAGGCGTGCCAACTGTCCTTCGTATCGGAAACGCCTCAGCAATAGTAATAACGGAAATGCGCATCAGGCTACTTTCGAGGATGCCTCAAATAACCAGGATCAGACCACCCAACAATCCCAGCAACAACAAGAAACTATAAAACACAGATGCCGTGTCGTCGGATGCCGGGAAGACGCCACGAATACCTTGAGACGGAAATGGTTACTGAAAATGAAGAAGAACGTTGAAAAAATTGTAAGCATCTATCTGACAACAATTGATTTTTATAATTAACTTCCTGAAGGAGAACTTTATGTTTTTGGCAAAAAATTAGATTTGCTATTTTTTTGTTTTCTCGAGCCATTCTGAAATGTTTGAGAACAAATTTGTAAAACTTGTGCACCGATTTTACAAATTTAAAAGCCATTTGATGTAACTGGATTAGGACTCGTGGGTATCAGTTTTTTGCGACAATATAATTAGCAAAAAAGTGCAAAAAAAATTTCACAAAATCATTCACGTTTTAGCCAAAAATCGTGAATCGATTTTAAAAAATTCAACTGTTTGAAAGATTCAACATTAAACATTTTTTAGACGATTTTGATTAAACTTTTCATTATGATGATCATCGTTCAAAATATAACGGCCCCACGACAAGAGGTTTAAGGGGAGAGCCTGCTTTAGAGGCTTTAAATAATCGCTTTTTTTAAGGAATTTTTAGGGAAGAAAATAAATATTTAATTGAAACGAAACGTACAGTCTTTATTGTTATATATTTCAACATTCTTCTCAATTTTTTTCATTGAAATATATGATATAATATGCCGGGTATAAGCATTTTGCCAATGCACCACGAGCGTGCAGGTGTCATTTGTCGGGAAAGATGCAGGTCACAATTTCCATCCGAAATAAAAAAATCAAAACAAATATATATTTTCAATAGTATAGATTCTAATTGAATCTAAAAAATCCAGAAAAAAACAGAAATTCACCAATTTTTCGCATCTTGGAAAAAAAAAAACATGTTTTTTGATACAAAATTTCACTTTAGATTGTTTAAAAAGTGGGTTGATTATAACTTTTTTTAAGTTATAATTAACCAACTTATGAATGAGTAATAGCAATAAAAATAATTATATATGAATTGTATAATGTGTATGTGAATAAATAATATAATGCCAAAGTGCTTATATTTGGGAGACGACCTTTATCTATGTTTATCTACAAGAAGAAAAACATAATAAACTAACACCATCGACTCAAGCAATATGCAATATTTTGAATCACTTTAATCGAATGAGCCGTTCTCTGAAAAATAAGTATTTTGTGGTATTGGTATTTTTTCCGAAACGGCTGGACCTGACTTTGTCAAAAACTTTTGAAATGTATCTAAACATGCCCGATCACACACGCACATACAAACAATAGACATTTCAATAAATCCAAACATATTGTAATTTTTTACTATTTTTAAAGTTTAAAAATATTTTATATACAAACTGCATTTTTTCATCAATTACTCTATTTCCAATTTGCCAGTCACCATAAAAGCAACAAATTTTAATGAAGATATATATAGTTTAGGTTCAATTAGAATAGAATTTATTCCTGAATACAATGAATTTTGTCTCGTTTCGATAGGCCGTTCAGTTTTTTTCCTATCTTTCCCGCCAATTAGGAAGAATCGAAACAATTAAAAGCCGAGAAATCGCGCCTCGAAGTTTTCGTTCCGCTTGTATACATGCTTGACGCTTGCTCACTATTTTTTCAGTAACTCCGAAAATAATTAGAATTTGTTTCTGAAATTTTAGGGCTATATTCTTGGCTAGTTTTGGAAGACATTTTTGTAATAAAAAATCGATCCTTTTTAAGCCTCTAAAGCAGGCTCTCCTTTAATTATAAAAAAATCTCAAAGCTTGAAAAAATGTCTACTGCTATGTTACGATGAAAAATTGATTTTTGTCGAACCGTTTCTTTGGAATTACCAGAAAAGTGTAACATAATCTCGTGTTTTCGGAAAAAAAAACCCTGAACCGATTTTGAAAACTGAGAAACCATTTGGAAGATGTTATTTTGATATCGTAATAAAATATTAAAACATGTTTTCCTTTCAGTTGGATCTTCTGCCTGAGCCTCCCCTTCAGAATATGACGTCGCAGCACGGAAACATCCACCTGTGCACGTTGCACTACGACGCCGTCTCCCACCTGCTCGTCTGCGCGCTCTGCAAGCGTCGCCTGGCGCGTAACCATGCCCACTATTTGGCCGCAGCCGAATCGTCCCGCGCCTCTGATCTGCTTCGAGCTCAGGGAATCCCACATCTTGGCCTGGATGCGGGCCAGGGTGGATCCAGCGCGGTTTGTAAGCTGTGCCGATATTACGTGGGTTTGTTATTTAAAGCTGATGCTGAAGGAGGAAGAACGTCTAAGGCTGCGTTTATCAAGAGTTACAGACGACGGTAAGAATTTATGAACTTTAAAAATTAAGCATTTTTAGAAAAAAAATTACATTTACAGTGAAATGTATTCGCACTGTCAAAATAAATCAAATAAATTGTAAAAAATATATAACAATTTCTGCAAATTGATTGATTGACAGTATTCGTTTGAATTTGTTGATTTTATACTTGTTTTGCTCAGATATGGTTGTGTTCATAATTCACAAGTTTATAGTTGTTAATTTTTATTACATATATTTATTTGAGGTTCAAATCGAAAATTAAATTCCTGATTGATAAACAGACAAAATCATTTTTTATATTTGTAGGCTTCTGGAGTCTCATAACATGGAAATCGTTGAAGATGAGTCTGATACTGAGGATCCGTTAATTCAGCAATTTGCACCAGAAGAAACAAGCGTGTTAGGAAACAAGAAAGCCAAAACTGCCAAAACAAATGTAAAGAAGTCTAGAAAATCTACGGAATCTACTACCGATATTCAAACTGAGAATTATGACTCGATTGATAATGAAAATAAACAAACTGATGCAGAAGACATAGAGAATATAATTTCTAAAAACACTATACATATCAACAGAAATTCAGATCTGACTACGAATCAATCAAAACAGCAAAAATTAAATGAAATAACTTCACAGAAGCCAGGGCAAAGTGTACTACTATCTAACTTATCTAACTCTATGCATAAAAAAATTAGGTTGGATGAGATTTTATCACAGCAACAAGAATCAGAGCAATTGAAAGCAGAAAAGGTTCAACAACTTAGGTCGAACCCATCACTTTCTGTGAGAGAATTGTTTCCAGGAGAAGAAGAAATGGGATTACATGCAAATATTCCTCTTAATAGAGGTGGTCCTCGAACTCCTGAAGGCTGGACAAAGTGCACAACCACGATACAGTATGATGAAGAGACTAGGAGACTATGGAATCATCTACAAGAACCATATGGAAACCAATCTAGCTTTTTACGTCATTTAATTTTATTAGAGAAATATTTTCGCTCTGGGGATTTAGTGTTATCTCAAAATGCCACATCTAGCGCGACTAATTATTCAGAATCTGTACAAAGTCGATTAAGGTCTTTTGATCATATTCCAACAACAGTAAATTCTGAAATGCCTACCGGATATAGACCTAATTTGACAGTAACTAAAAAACCATCATCAGAACAATTAGTTAATTCTTCAGCTCACATTCCTCCTGCAGAATTACCTCTTAGTGAAATCACTCAGCTTACTAAAAAATTCAAATTAGATAAGAAAAGTATAGGATCAATGCAAATTGGAAATATGGTATCACTTGCAAAATCATCGAGCGCTTTTGTAAAGCCTGTGAAGAAAGGTCAAGAAACAAGTCATAATAGGTCTCCAAGTGTCCCACCAGATTTAATCTCTATCGGAAATAAAAGTTCTATCAGTGCGGCTCCTATTAGTGCTTTGAAACGCTCAAGTTTGCCTTCGACCTCAATTGAATCACCAGTAACAGTTGCGTTAAAAATTTCTGGAAATTCAACCACAAATGTTAGTAGCAATAGTGCGCCTACGACAGATACTAGTCCTGCCTTCGTGTCTGCTAGTTTAGCAATACAGGCTGCAGCAGCTGTGACTTCAGTTCCAACTGCTTCTTCAACTACATCGACATCCCAATGTGCTGGTACATCTGGCAGTTCCTTGACTGTTGTTCCAGTAACAGGATCTTCAACAACTTCTCCTGATGCTCCTGCATCTAAAGAACCGTCACCAACTCCTGCAAGTACTCAAACGCCGACGCCAGCAACAACCACGTTGTCTGCAGCAGAACCAATTAAAAAAACCGGTTCAGCAGTGAAGCCATGGAGGCCCACATTGATTCCAATTGACCCTAATAGTGAGCCTCCGAATCCAGGGCAATTGTTCCAAACAGTTGATGGTCGGAGATTACCTAGTCTTGTCCAAGTGATGTCTGGTGGTAAACCATACCACATTTCCATTCAGGATTATAATAGAATGTGCATTTTGCGCCGACAAAAAGTTGTGCAAATGCAGAAAACTCAGCTAATACAAAAAATAAAAGATGCTCAAAAACTGACAAAAATCCAACAGAGGCAAAAAATTCAGTTGTATCAGTAAATAAAAAGAAAGTTGTGGATATACCAAACAAAGTTTTAGAACAGAATTCTGTGATACCCATACGTGGAGCTGAATCTACAAAAACAAAAAAAACTGTAAATAATGCTACAGCAATACTGAAAAATTTACCACAGATTAGTAAAAACTTGACAGTAGCTCGAACAACAACAGCTGTTACAAATACTTCTATCAGTAATACAGCAACAATTACAAAATCAGATGCTGTTTCAATAGCTTCTGAAGAAGGTTACTGGTCATGGGAAAGTATAAAAAAGCAAAAGATGTCGGATGAAGATAGCAAATCCCAAATGGAAACTATGCTTTCAAAAATTCCCAAATCTCTAACAGTGATACCACAGAAAGCTGTAAACCGCACCAATTCTATCAGCCCTAATTCTGTTCCAACTAATACTAGTTTGCTTAAAAATCAAATTGACAAGATTCCTTAAGTGCCTAAAGACAATTTGTGTGCTCGACATAAAAAATGAACTGACAAACACTAGACTGTATTATAATGTATATAAATATATAGAATCATATTTTTTGTGAGATTAGTTTCGTAAGTATAATATAGAAAACTTATAACATATTGTTTGTTGACTTAATATTTTGATTTATATTTATAGTGCCTCTAAAATTGTTCATTATATTGCACAATCGAATCATTTAATGTTATTAGAAGTTCAAAAATTGTTATCAAGACTGCAATCTTAAATTTTATGAAATTACGTATGAAATGATTAAGCCAAGTAAGCATTCAATTATTAGCCCTTTCCTTACATGCTGTGCCTTTAAAAAAATATCTATTTTCCCAATAATGTTAGTATTTGAGAACGTATTTATATCCCTCGGTCGATCAGTCAGCATGCATTGCCCTTATAATAACATAATTTAATTTTAGAAAGAATTATGTTCATATTTCCAAAGAAATAGTTTTTATTATGTAGACATATTTGCAATAATCAATAACAATAAGATCATATGTAAACATTATTCATAATTTATCCTATGAATTTTCTTTCAATAATTCAATAAATTGTTATGCAATCACTTCATGTTTCATTTTAAGATTAACGATTTATATTATATTTTCCTATTTATTGCAGGCACATTTAATCAAAATATTTCTTATCGAAATTGAAAATTAAATATCTCTTCGAAATATGTTAGTTGGCATTTGACAAATTTATATTTGGTACAATCAGTACAGCCGTTTCTTTATGATTGAAATGTTTTGAACTAATGCATAAATTCTAAAAATGTGTGATAGGCTTCAATTATTGTTAATTTAATTTGGTTATCGACCATATTCACACTAAAATTTAAGTTGTTTAGAACTTTATAATATAGATTTAAATATACTTCTTAAATTTAATATAAGCGAAGCCAAATAATAGTGAAAACATAAAGTAAAAGCTTTTTGAATGACGAATTGCATTTAAGCAAAAATAAAATACACGATGACCCCGACGTGATTTGAACACGCAACCTTCTGATCTGGAGTCAGACGCGCTACCGTTGCGCCACGGAGTCTTACTATTCGGTACCGCAATTTTCCATTACTTTCCGGTAATAGAGTACGATAATACAGTAATAATTACAAAGGAAATAGGGTCAATGATAATTTAATCTTCTCGGATAGCTAATATAATAGATATTAATATATATAATCGATTTTGATAAGCTTATTACATTATTAATTATAATTTTGATAATTCGTAACATCATGACCCAAAGACCTTATAATAGACTTGATACGAAGGGGGGAGGGGGGGCTGGACAAAAGAATTACAAATTATCACAAGGCGGTGGGGAGTCTTGTAAGATATCACGTGTATTTATTTTTTACTTAGAGTTCTAAAATTTTTGCGTTTTTTCGGGTACTAAAAATACATGTGATGTTGAGTGAGGAGGGGGTTAGTTTTAAATATCACCACGTATCATCGAGGAGGACGAAAGGAATAAAAAATGTTTGAAAAACGATCACATTTTTAATTTTTCCCCGGATAGGGACTGATGGAAAAGTGGTATTAAAGTTGAGTATAAAAAAGTGAATTTCAAACAATTTATTCCTTTTTACTAAGCCAATGTGTAAATAATAAATAAAAATAAATCCTCACGTGATCAATAGACGTCCCATAAAGTGATCATATCTTTTATTTACAATTTGGAACAGGAAGTTAGTGGGTGAGGGGTCTTTGTTGTTAATTTCAATAACTTAAATATGATTATTTATTTTTTGTAAAAATAAAAATAATTCATACCAAACACTATTTAAGGATTTAATAAATATCAGTCGTTTTTTAATAAGAAAATCTGTAAAAATATGTATTTTTACCAGTATATCTTTTTAGGATTCAAGAATTGCATAAAATTTTGTGCAACTTTCTTCATAATTAATATTGCTTTTATTTTGTCTGTTTCAAGTTGCATATTGTAATGTGCACAGATTTTTCATTCAAATTCTGTAAAAATAATTCTAGTTTAAAAATATTTATTGAAAATAAGAAAAAAATTCTGTTTAAAAAATTCTTCAATTCCCAATTCAAAAACCCGAGATAAATATTCAAATTTGGACGCAATCTCGGCTATCTTTGCCAAAACTAATCAGTACGATTCCCGACTGATATCATTCGAACGGTTTTTTAAATTTTCAAATTTGATTCAGAAGTTTTTGAATATCAATTAAACGGAACCTAATATTGTTATTTTAATGGTACCTAAGTGTGCGGAAAGGGACCAAAGAGCCGCCCTCCCAATCAATATCCCTTATCTAATCCATTATTACATTGTTTAGAATCCATTATTATTATATTATCTAGGATCCCATTTTTGAATTGCAAAGTTCAATCGGCGTGAACTCGTACACAATGCCCTTCCTTCATACAAACACAATATTATTATGTAAAACGAACTGTCATTTTCGGACAGAGTTACATGTGAATTGCAAGAAATGTTAACCTAAAATTCTAGTGCTTTTTTAATTAAATATAATAATGATTCTTTTATCACGATTAAAAACATGCTTTTATCTGAATCATAAATTATTACAAAGACAATTTAATAACCATGCTTACAATAAATTTCATTTTAATCTTAAGTCAAAAAAGGAGACAGTAACAAGTCGAAAATTTTCTAGTTTTTATTCATCTATTTTATCGAAATTAAAAGTTAAAAAATCAACAATAAGATTTATATCGACTGATGGAACTGTTAAGAAAACAGCTAAAATATCACAGGCTGATATTAGAAGATTATTGAAATTGGCAAAACCAGAAAAATGGAAATTATTAGGTATATTTTATTTTCAAAAAATCTGATTGTAATTTGTC